CATAGAGCGACTTCCCAAAAACACAAAGGTAGCCCGCATGATGTTGAAGCATGGTTACCATCCTGGCCAAGGACTAGGGGCAGATTCCCAAGGCATAAGGGAACCCCCAGAATTCCAAGACAATCCTTACAAGTATGGCCTAGGATATGACCCTACTAAGGGCCGAGCAGAAAAAGGAAAAGGGAAGACTCCCCTCCTCACACTCAAGCAAATTTTCCAAAGCGGAGGGGTGCAAGCGTCAAGAGCTACCCTAGTCATTAGGAAATCTTTTTCTTCATTTAAGGGATGTAAACCCCATGATTGTTAAAGATTATCCTCCAGGGCTAGCCCGACCCCCAGGCATTTTAGGGCACATATTCCCTTATTAATTAATAAAGAATACTTCTTACAAGCTGCTTCTCTTCTTGCTATTTCTTACTAGACCTCACAATAACCTTGTCTAAGTAAACGGAAAAAGAAAAAAAGAAGAATAAAAAGCGCGTCCAAATAACCAAAATTCGCCATTGCCATTACAATCAAGCTAGTTGATTAGAAGCACCAAATAAGGCTTTACCTCACCATTAAGAAAGTCATGCTTCGCCAATATTGTAAACAAAAAATAAATACAAAAAAAGAAGAGCCCATAGAAGCCAAAGGCCAAAGAAAAGGGCAAAATACCCGGTAGGAAACTCACTAAGGGGGCTACGCAAAAGATTGGGTCAACCCGGTAGGACACCCGAACAAAAATAAAGGGTAGCCTAGGCAAAAGTTAGGGTTACAAAATAAGGTTCGCTAAGATTCCCCAAAAATACAAAAAGAAGGAACCTAGACAAAAGTCAGGGCCAAAACACAATATCCTAGTTCGAAAATTTGAAGGGTGATCTAAGGAGATCAACTAGCCATAAAAAGCAAGGGAAATAAAACTCAAAGTGCAAGTACAAAAAGGGGAAACATTTGCTTAGACGAAAAGCTTAAACACCTAAGCCTAACCCTAGCTAACCATTCTTACAAAAACCTCTTTCCAAATAAAAATCAACCTTCTAAAACACAAGCTATTGAATTTACCTCTTTACTTCTTTTCTCTTGACCCTCACAACAATATTCTAATAATTAATTTGGGAATATGGAGGCATATAGTCAACAAGAGGATTGAAACCCCTATTGTGGAGAAAAAGGGACACTACATGGCAAAGAGTGCTCTACAAAAAAGAAAAAAAGGGAAGAAAAAGAAAAAACAAATTATTCTTCGGTCATAAGAAGTCCGGCATGGTACAACCAAAATACGAGAACGCAAATCAGAGGGCATTCGACGCTACAAGACACGTCGGTTAAATCCTTCTGAAAAATAATTGAAATAGGCATTATAGGACATCAAACATGAAAACATTGCATGCATAAAATGTTTTTGAACCAGGTCCTATTTCTTTCCAAAAAAAAAAAACCTTTAAATCGAGACGGTCGTCCGGAATTTCCAGACCGTCGTCTCGATCCCCAGAAAAATCGAGACCGTCGTCTCAACTTGGCCAAAAACGAGACCGTCGTCCCACTTGGCGAGACAACTGTCTCGCTTAAGGTCAAAGTCGAGACCGCCTTCTCGAGGTCCAAGACGGCCGTCTCGACGTGCATAAAATCGAGACCGCCGTCTCGACTTCCCAGACGGCGGTCCCGAATTTGAATTTTTCTTGGGGTTCCTCACAACTCCTCTGCACTCCAACTCTCTGATCTCTCACTCCCAAGCACTTTACCATCAAAATGTTCCGTGGAAGCCAGACCAGGAAGAGGAGAGGCTCTGCTGGCCCTAGCAGTTCCTCAGCACCAGTCCCCCAGGACCCCACTCGGCTCTCTCCACTACATCAGGCTCGACTTGAGCACATCAGGGGGTACACATGGCACCCCATGCTCAAATTAGACTTTGACATTCTCGCCAAATTTGGATGGGAGGACGACGTCCAGGCCCACATTGACAGCATTGGGTGGGGCTTCCTCCTGCAGTCTCCACCCACCCATGTGTACCCTCAGGCAGTACTGGAGTTCCTTGCCTCCATCTCCTACGCCGAGACTCCCGCCATGATCCCAGGCCTGTCACCAACAAAAATGGTGACATACTTTATGGGTGGGATGTACCGGACCACCACCCTGGACGAATTCAACATGTCCATTGGATTGTCCAGCCCGGGGACGTGCTAACCCGAAAATACCAGGAGGCCATCTGCACGCGCCCCACCAACCTCACTGTCGGCGAGATGTGGGAGGAGCTCACCAGGGCGCCCACATTGCCCACGCTGATGAAGGGCTCAACACTCCCCCAAGCCCTCCGCATTTGCCACAAGCTGCTGGCGGGGACCATCCACGGGCGGAAGGAGAGCCAGGGAAAGGTAACTCTCCCAGACCTTTTCGTCCTTTACTGAATGAGCTAGAGGCGCCGATGCAACCCTGACTACTTCTTCCTGAAGGCCCTCAAGGACTTCGGGAGCAAGCCAGTGGGAGCCGTCCTCATGGCTCCCCTCATTACCCCCCTGGCAGAGAAATGGGGGTGCGGTGGCCGGGAAGAACTGGCCTCCAGCCTACGACCCGAGTCCATCAACGGGTCGATCCTGGTCAGCATGGGGATGCTGATGCGCCACGGGACCCAGCTGGTCCTCCACCCATCGCTGGATTTCACTTTGGACCTCCAGGATATCGTGGCAATGCGTGATCTCCCGACACCTCCCGAGTTCCAACAGCCACAACAGCAGCAATCACAACAGCAGCAGTACACAGACGACTTTGCTGGCGTAAATCGCAACATCTACGATCTACGCCAGCAATTTGATCAGATATCTGTAAGACAAGAGCAGATGTCTCTAAGGCAGGAGGCCTTCGACACAAGACTGGAGACGATATACCAGTATCAGGAGGGAATGAGGCAAGACTGGGCAATATTCCAGCAGGAATATCGCGATGAAGTCCGGGACCAGGCAGAGTTCCGGAGACATATGTACCGGCAATTTCCCTCCTACGGATCATCTCCAGACGAGAGTCCACCTTCTCAGGGATAGTGCTCATAGAATAGGACTGCTGTAATAAAATCTTATATAAATAAAAATTTTATTCCATGCATCTTTTTGCTACCCCTTTCAAAAAGTCAGCGTAACCAAAAGAAACTAAAAGTAAAAAGACGTACGCTCAAGGAAGAAGCCAAAATCCAAAATCGCGAGAAAAAAAAGATAAGACTGCGAAAAAGGCAGGATTAAAACAAGTCAACCACCTTGACCCAACAAGTTTCGACGACTAAGCAGACGTCGAACAATAAAGACCACTCGACCAACCAGCAAGAGTTGGGTGATCACCATCAAAAAGCAAAAACAAAGAATCCCCAGCAACCAACAAGCTGGATGAACACCGACAAAATCCCCGGCGCAGACCGAACGATCATTCTCAGAAAAAGACCAACAAAAACAAAGAAAGCACATCTCAACGCTCGGCGCATGAGCCACCCGAGCAGTAAGCCGTTGCTACCACCAGTCCTACGCAGTGGACTGTACTAGCCTGAAAGGGGGTTCATACCTATCAACCCGCGCACGCAAGTGCGCCTAATCTGCGCTCAAGCCGGATCAGTAAGTCGCAATTACCAACCTGATGGGGGGTTCATACTCATCCAGTCCAACACACAGCGGACTGCAACTACCAGCCTGATGGGGGGTTCATACTCATCCAGTCCGACGCACAGTGGACTGCAACTACCAGCCTGATGGGGGGTTCATACCCATCAACCGAAGGATCGGCTACCGTCAGAAGGAGTATCCTGAGGTTCTACCTTGTGCCAACCAAAGGGATCGGCTACTGTCAGAAGGAGTATCCCGGAAGTGCACAACACAAATTTTCCCTAGAAGATCAACCGCCAATAAGCACCCTAGTTATCAAGAAATTAATAGAAAGCTTGCCTCGGAGGTTTCTACACACTCTCTCTCATTTACCGCTTTATTTTTAATTATGCAATAGATATTAGGGCCATGTAGTCGTAATTTTAAATTCCGCAAATAAAGGGTAAAAGCGTATTTTTCACCGGTTTAATTATTTAAAATAGCTTGCCTATCATAGGGAACCCGAAAGGGGCGTTGTAAGGGAACTAACACTTCCCTTACACGTAACTAACTCCCTTACCCAACTCTGGTTCTAATGACCAAAGTTGGTTTTTCGAAAACCAACGCCTTTTTACTCCTTTTCCGATGTTTCCGGTAAAAACATTGGTGGCGACTCCAGAAGAAGCCTTCAAAATTAGTTCTTGGGTTAGCCCGATTATTGGACAATCCAAGAGCGCATTTTCGAAAACTTCGCCCCTAGGTTCAACCCGATTATCGGACAACCTAAAGGCGTTGTAACCACACCAATAAAAACACGAAAATTGGAAAGTCGAAACTATCGCGTCGCTCCGACCGCCTCGTTTTGGCGGCGGCGACAGTCCTTCAACTTCATTTTAACAAATTCTTGAACCAGTTCCTTGTACCCATCACACTTTATAATTGCATCATCCCTTTCTTTTTTGGTGGCTTGAAGCTCCATTTTAAGAGTTTCACACTGCGCCAACAAGTTTGACATATCACCTGATGAAGAACATGAGCTATTGCCATTGTCTTGAGCCTGACAGTTAGAAAAGAAAAATAGTGTGAAAGAGACCAAAAATTATAATTTACAAATTATAATTTTACAACATTATAATAGCACCCTATTGTTCACCTTAAATCGAGTAAGACAACCTTATAATTCACGAGTATAATAGACCAAATATTAGTAATGTAAAGAAATATATAAATTAAATAAATATAACAAGGAAGGATACTTACTCATCTCAAACAATAATAAGAATGTTCACCAATAGTTTCTTTGCAATATGAAATGCTAGATGCCATTGGTACTTCACAGGAAAGACAATTTACAATATTCTAGGGCAGGAAAAATAGAAATAAAAAAAAAATCCAACTTCTGACAAATCAAAAATTGCTGAAAAAACAAAGAAAGAAACATTGCACAAGGATGATTGTTTACTTGTTTATATCATAAATTTTCTTCCATGAATTTGCAATACGCAGCCTCAACCTCATCTTTACTGTCAAATGCACAATACACGGCTTTAGGATATCCATTAACTTGCATTCTATCCATGATGAATACAAGCCCAGAACTCGACCAACAAAGACGCAGTCAATTTTTCCCATTTTCTGGGGAAAAATCATTTTAATATATAAATGTAAGGAACAAGAGACTTAAAAGTAAATACACCGTAAAAATGGCTAAACCAAAAATACCAACCTAATATGAACACCTAATGGCTAGTATGTGACAAAATTTTGATTAAGAAAATCAGCATAGTAATGAATTGAAGGAAGGGTTCCACTAAAAACCTGAAAAATGGCTCACACTTCAGCATTTTTTATTTTATTTTTCTTTTGAAACCTCTTCAGCTCAGCATTTTTTATTTTATTTTTCTTTCGAAACCTCTTCAGCTGTCAATTAGATTATATGGTTTTCAACTTATGAGAGTGCATTTCTTAAACACATTCCCACATTTAACACAAGAAGTTCTACAGAATCTATAAACCTTTATCTTCAATCAATTCAATAACCAAATGGAAAAAGCCTATTTGATAAGCAGTTTTATTAGTTAAAATGTATCATGTTGACCGAAAGCTTGATTAATCTCACTGCTCGTATTTATTTCGTAACTAGTCAGTATAAAGATGAGAGTGAGTGCAAATTATGCGACTCTTGAAAGTAGACATAGGGAATAGACAAAATGCTGGAAAACAGTAAGAAGGATCATTTAGGATATGCATAATAAGAAAAAGAAGCTGCACAATTCACTTTAAAACAATGCATAATATACCCAAATTGTTGTGTATGGTGAATAATTGCAGCAAGTAAAGATAATGAAAATAATGCTGATGTTATTATACCTATTACCGACATCTCTCCCACGAGTCCCACCAATATTCTAAACAAATTAGACAAAGAAGCTGAAATTTTTTAACAGAAACCTTCAAAATGTGGAAGGTTAAGCTACAAATAACAAATAGCAAGCAGAGATTTACAAACCAAAAGCAAGTAATTCAAGAAAATTAAAAGCAAAGTCTACGATCAGTGACAGATCTTCTTGGGAGCTGAGGGGGGCCGTGACCCCCCCAAAGTTTTGTAACTCCCATGTAATTTATGATTTTGGCTCCCCCAAACATAATGAATATTTAATATATTTACTTGTATATTTACAATTTTATCCTCTTAACCCCTCCTCAGTTTTGTAACTCTCATATAATTTATGATTTTGTTCGCCTCAAACTTAATGATCATTTAATATATTTAAGTATATATCTAGAATTTTATCTTTTCACCTTTTCATCTTCTTTCTTCTTTTTATATTTATTTATTATTTATTAATAATATATTATTTGGCCCTCAAAATCAATGGTCAAGATTCGTCACTGTCTACTATAGTTCCTAAGTAAGAAAGAAATTTCATATTCAACACAAAAACATTTCAGTCAAAGGCACGAGGTTACTTTCGGTATGAAGTAACTCAGCAAGACGTATGCCCAACAGGAGCAACATGAACATGAAAAGTCAAGCAAAGACATTAGTAGTATCAAATTCTGCAATAACAAAATGTGAGTAAACTACTAAGCATGATAAAACAAATCTAGAATCATAGTAATCCTATTCAATATCAGAAACCACATAACTTCTTAGACCTACATTAAAAACTATAACAACGATAATACTCTTTCGTGCTTGCGACATTTGTGGAACAGATAAACATGAGAGGTTTGGATGGCATTCAAGGTCCTGTTTATGTGGGCACTGGATGTGTCTTCAATTGCAACTGGATGTATCTTTAAACTCTAAACATTAACTAACAGACTGAATTTAATTATGTTTCTATCTTATCAATTCAACATTTTTCCTCTACCCATTTTGAACCTTCTTCTCCTTCAAACCCTTGGTAAATACTCTCTTCCTCCCTTTCTCTCCTGCTAGTGTCAGGGTAACGATTAAGCTTGTTAAGGATAATTGATTACTTATAAATTATAATCAAGTTTTTAAAAATTATAATCGATTATTTTTAATTATGATAGATTATTTTTAATTATAATCGATTAATTTAAATTATAATTGATTATTTTTAAATTATAATCGATTAGTTTAAATTATAATCGATTATTTTTAAATTATAATAGATTAGTTTAAATTATAATCGATTATATTTAAATTATAATCGATTATAAAATTATAATCGATTATAAGCGAGAACTGTACTGTTTGAGCGAGAATACGTGCAACTAATAGATATTATCGAGTTCTATATCGCTCAAACGATAGAACTCTCGCTCGAGTGAAAAGTAATTAAAATATGTGGTGACCCAAGTTACATTATGTGACTAAATACGTTGGACCTTTAGTCCGACAATGTGGTCACGTATTGTTTGAGCGAGAAATCCATCGCTTGAGCGAGAATACCTGCAACTAATGCGTATTCTCGGGTTCTATTTCGCTCAAGCGATAAAATTCTCACTCGAGTAAGAAGTGATTGAAATATGTGGTGACCCAAATTATATTATGTGGCTAACTGCGTTGGACCTTTAGTCTGTAGTCAACTCTCGCTCGGACGAGAAACTCATTGCTTGAGCGAGGAGACTTGCAACTAATGGGTATTCTCGAGTTCTATTTCCCTCAAGCGATGGAATTCTCGCTCGAGCGAGAAGTGATTGAAATATGTGGTGACCTAAGTTATATTATATGGCTAACTGCGTTGGACTTTTAGTCTGTAGTCAATTCTCACTCGAGTGAGAAACCCATCGCTTGAGCGAGGAGACGTGCAACTAATAGGTATTCTCGGGTTCTATTTCGCTCAAACGATGGAATTATTGCTCGAGTGAGAAGTGATTGAAATATGTGGTGACCCAAGTTATATTATATGGCTAACTGCGTTGGACCTTTAGTCTGTGGTCAACTCTCGTTCGGGCGAGAAATCTATCGCTTGAGCAAGGATACTTACAACTAATAGGTATTCTTGGGTTCTATTTCACTCAAGCGATGAAATTCTCACTCGAGCGAGAAGTGATTGAAATATGTGGTGACCCAAGTTATATTACGTGGCTAACTGCGTTGGACCTTTGGTCCCACGGTGGTCAATTCTCGCTCGAGTGAGAAGTGCACCGCTTGAGCGAGGAAACCTGCAACTAATGGGTATTCTCGGGTTTTATATCGCTCAAGCGATGGAGTTCATGCTTGAGTGAGAAGTGCTTGAAATATGTGGTTTACATTATGTGGCTACGTGCGTTGGAATTTTAGTACGAATGTGGTCATATCTCGCTCAAACGATAGTTAGATCGCTTGAGCGAGTAGAGCTGTAAGTAATTGTTATTCTCGGGTTCGATATCGCTCAAGCGAGACAAAAGCGCTTGAGCGAAAAATGCTTCAAATATGTGGTTACTCACGTTACATTATGTGGCTAACTGCAATGGTGGTTGCGTCAGAGATATTGGACAATAAGGTCCAACATATATGGTTAACTGTTAATGACCATTTTTCTTTTTATGCAATGTATATGGTTACCTCTTTCACATTATGTGGTTAACTGTGATGAACATTTAGTCATGTTTTACTGCTACCTCAACCATACATGTGCTAACCACCCCAAGCTTATCCCAATAACTGAACATGGCAGTTTCATGTATGCACACACATGCTAACTTTATTGAGTCCAACATATATGATTAACTGTCAATGACCAGTTTTCTTTCTATTCAACATATATGGTTACCTCATTCAGATTATGTGGTTAACTGTGATGGACATTTAGTCATGTTTTACTGCTGGCTCAACCATACATGTGTTGACCACCCCAAGCTTATCCCAATAAATGAACATGGCAATTTCATGTATGCATAAATATGCTAACTTTATTGAGTCCAACATATATGGTTAACTATCAATTACCAGTTTTCTTTATATGCAACGTATATGGTTACCTCCTTCAGATTATATGGTTAATTGTGATGGACATTTAGTCATGTTTTACTGCTGGATTAACCATATATGTGCTGACCACCTCAAGTTTATCTGTTTAACTGAATATGGCAGTTTCATGTATGCACATGCTAATTTTATTGAGTCCAACATATATGATTAACTGTCAATGACCAGTTTTCTTTATATGCAATGTATATGGTTACCTCCTTCAAATTATTTGGTTAACTGTGATAGATATTTAGTCATGTTTTACTGTTGGCTTAACTATATATGTGGTGACCACCTCAACTTTATGTGCTTAACTGAACAGGACATTTTGTGTTAATCATATGCTAAGTTTATATAGCCCACATTATATGTTTAACTGTAAATGACATATGCTTAACCACTTTACTATATATCATTAGCTGCACATAAACATACATGGTCAGCCGAACAACACAATGGAGGAAGATATAATGCTATCACTATGAGATAAAGAGTACTGTACAATATCACATTATCACAGGCCACAAAACTCACATGATAAAGGTGTAAAATGAAAACATCAAATATAAATTAATATGTTTCTTAGGACAAAAGAAGAAAACCTAACAAAATAATTCATCTACACAACACTTATGTGGCCTTTTTTCTTTTCCTTGAATTAGTCGTCCACGGTGTTTTGACCATAAAAGTTTTATACCTTATTCTCGGATGAGCTTTAAGTCGAGTATACATATTTGACCCTTCACAATGCAACTTTGATTCTTCTGTTGCTTTAGTATGATGTTTCATCTCCTTAACACTACTACCTTCAAATATAGGAGAAAAGTACATACCAGATGATGGAGGATTTACCCCTTCTGTTGATAGTTTTGCTTCATCTAACAATTCTTATAATTGTATTAAATCCTCCTCTAGTTTTTCAATTATTGATTCTTATTGTTTGGTTAGGGCAATCAACAATTGATTCTCAGCAATAATTGCACACAACATATCAATACAATTTTTCAATTCTTCATATGCATGAGTGGTATGTGCTAACGCTTCTTTCACTATATCATGAGTAAACTCTTCATTTCTGACCTACAAGTCATGAATAACCTATGAATAAAAAACAATATCAAATTTAAATCACATTTTCACATATGGTAAAGTAATCGTGTAAACAAGTTCTACTAAATTTTTAATGAACTAACCCTATTATTATTAAACGCAGCTACAATCTTACTTTCCCCAATTACAACAGAGGTTCATTGTAAAAATCTCGAAAATCAACTTATCTCATTACATGATTTGGTATTATAAAGTAGATACTCCATAGCCCATATCTGACTTAACATCAACAAAATGCACAATATCAAATCAGATTACTATATTGAAAGTATTCTAACAAAACATATATCATAATTTAGAATTTACCTGTAACAAAAACACACATCCTAGTGTGAACAATTTCTTCGCTTCTTCAAATAAATTGATGCTTCACATAAACTTGCAACCAGATGTTCATACACTAGTTTTCCCCAATTATACTTTCCAAGACAAGATATATTATCTATTAACTTAAAAAAAAACCCAGAATGTGCGGTACCTAGTTTATTAGGGAATAAAAACTATGACAAACCTAAAAGTTGTTAGAATCGCGTAGCAAAATGTTCGCGTGGTCGGAAAAAAACCAAGAGGGGGGGTGAATTGGTTTCTTAATAAAAATTAGGTTTTCAAAATTTTCCCCAAATTTTACCGATTAAAAACTGTATAAATGTAAATAGAGAAGAGATAGAATCTTACACAGGAGATTTATACTGGTTCAGATCAAAAGACCCTACGTCCAGTTGTTAATCACTAAAATAGAGGATTAACGTTGTCACTATAATCAAGTTGTTACAAACAAATTACAATTGAAAAGATAAAGTAAAGAAAACACCTCTTTTGAAATCCACAAGAGATGATGAACAGCTTTCCCTAGAGACGGCACAACACACAATCCACTAAGAACTCCACTTAGTGATTCTTATCGCTTCTAGCCCACACCAGGTCCCAAAAGCCCCTTTTTCTTGCAACAAACAGTTCTCTGGCACTCACAGCACTTAACTTTTGTATGAAAAAGGTTGTTCTTCTTTTTTGAGTGTCATAGAGAAGCTTAAGTAGAGAAATTAGGGTTTGAGAATTGGAAATTTCGGAATTAGGGTTCTTGGAAATAGGGTTTTCAAAAATAGGGTTAATTTGAAGTTAAAAATCAAAATCTGACTGAAATAATCGATTAAATGAAGTGTTAATCGATTATTACAGAGCCAAAATCAACAGAACCCCAAAACTCTCTGTTTTAATCGATTAAAAGACCTGTTAATCGATTAACAGGACTGTTAATCGATTAACAGGGGTGTTAATCGATTAAAATAGTGAACAGATACAGAAAATGGTTTTTCTCACTGTTTTAATTGATTAATTCACCAAATAATCGATTAAAGCCGAGCCTAGTTGATAAATTTTAGCTTTTTGAAGCTTCTAAGGTGCAAACTATGTACCGGCTATCTCAAACTCTAATATTACAGACTCAATCTAATCAAAACAGAGTTATTACAATACAAAACAAGTCTTCAACACTCTAAGTCTTTGTGTTCTTGAATCATCATCAAAATTAACACTCTTCATGCCATCAAGTGCAACATCAAGTCCTTGAATGTTCAACAATCGCCCCCTTTTTGATGATGATCAAAATTATCTTTTTAAAGCCTTGTAATAACCTGTTTTATCTCTCATACTAACAAACACATTAAACATAC